CTGAGCAGAGACCCACAGAGGTGACAGCCGCGGCCTGTCCACCCCCAGGCTCGGGCAGAGGAGCTGGAAGAAGAGCTGGAGGCTGAGCGGGCAGCCCGGGCCCGTGTAGAGAAGCAGCGGGCAGAGGCGGCCCAGGAGCTGGAGGAGCTGAGTGAGCGGCTGGAGGAGGCCGGCGGTGCGTCAGCGGGGCAGCGTGAGGGCTGCCGCAAGCAGGAGGCTGAGCTGGGGCGGCTGCGGCGGGAACTGGAGGAGGCAGCACTGCGGCACGAAGCCACGGTGGCCACCCTGAGGCGCAAGCAGGCGGACAGCACGGCTGAGCTGGGCGAGCAGGTGGACAGTCTGCAGCGGGTGCGGCAGAAGCTGGAAAAGGAGAAGAGCGAGCTCCGCATGGAGGTGGACGATCTGGGCGCCAGTGTTGAGACGCTGGCCCGTGGCAAGGTGACCACCTCCTTCCTGACCCTCCCCACTCCAGCTGCCGTCTGAGTCACCTGTCCTGACCTAAACCCTGGCGCTTAAAACCCCACTCCCCACTGTGACTGCAGGCCCTTCTGACCAGTGCGCAATTCTAACTTTCCAGTCTGACCTCTGCTGATGTTCCTGTTCGCAATTCCAGCACCCAACACTGACCCCTGAAGCTTTGTTCTGTCTCATCCTATCTACCAACTCAACACCATCCCAATCAGACTTGAGGCCCCAGTACCCCAGCCTCAGTGACCTACTGGCCTTGGAACTAGTCCAGCCCTCCCACTGCTCATGAACAACTGTCAGGTCACAGCCCAGCAGTAGAATCTGACCCTGAACTTGGGACTCTGCGCCCTCTTCAATTCCTGACCCCAGGCCCCAGTCTGATTGGCAGCCTTAGTGCCCACCCTTGGATTCACACTTATCCTGACTCCTGACCTTGAATCCCAGGCCAGTGCAGAGAAGCTGTGCCGGGCCTATGAGGATCAGCTCAGTGAGGCCAAGATCAAGGTGGAGGAGCTGCAGCGGCAGTTGGCAGATGCAAGCACCCAGCGCGGGAGGCTGCAGACTGAGAGCGGTGAGGCCAGGGGCTCAGTTGGGCGCACTGGGGCGTCGGTGCGACCCTTTTGCTAGTCTAACCTGCCGACTTCCCTTGGCCGCAGGGGAGCTAAGCCGCCTGCTTGAGGAGAAGGAGTCTCTGATCAGCCAGCTGAGTCGTGGGAAGGCCTCGGCCACGCAGAGCCTGGAAGAACTGCGGAGGCAGTTAGAGGAGGAGAGCAAGGTGGGCGGACTGCTAGTGGCTGTGGAGTGGGCAGGGTGGGCACTGGGGCCACCAACTGGACTGATGCTGAGGTCACCAGGGTTTCTGCAGGCCAAGAGTGCACTGGCCCACGCCGTGCAGGCTCTGCGGCACGACTGCGACCTCCTGCGGGAGCAGCATGAGGAGGAGGCCGAAGCTCAGGCAGAGCTGCAGCGCCTCCTGTCCAAGGCCAACGCTGAGGTGGCCCAGTGGAGGAGCAAGTACGAGGCAGATGCCATCCAGAGAACGGAGGAGCTGGAGGAGGCCAAGTGAGTGCCTCGCCAGCCCGGCCACCATCACACCGGGGAGGCCTGCGCCTCTCAGTGCTGTTGGGCCTGTGCTCCCTTACCCCTCCCACCAGCCTGCCCACTCGGTCCACACCGTCTGCTCCCCCGGCCTAGAAAGAAGCTGGCACTGCGGCTGCAGGAGGCAGAGGAGGGAGTAGAGGCTGCACACGCTAGGTGCTCATCCCTGGAGAAGGCCAAGCTGCGGCTGCAGACAGAGTCAGAGGACGTGACCCTGGAGCTGGAGCGGGCAACCTCAGCGGTTGCCGCTCTGGATAAGAAGCAGCGGCACTTGGAGCGGGCCCTGGAGGAGCGGCGGCGGCAGGAGGAGGAGATGCAGCGAGAACTGGAGGCAGCCCAGAGGGAGGCCCGTGGCCTGGGGACTGAGCTCTTCCGGCTGCGGCACAGCCACGAGGAGGCTCTTGAGGCTCTGGAGACAGTCAAGCGGGAGAACAAGAACCTGCAGGGTACAAACCACCCCTTGGTCAGAGAGCTACTCGGGGCTCATTTGGGAGCAAGTGGGAGTCATACAGGGTACCCTTGTGGGGTCACCCTGGAGTTAGGGGTGAAAAAGTGACCTGGGTTGGAGCATGAGCAATGTGGGTGGACCCTTAGTGCCTTGTCTGCTCTCCAGAGGAGATCAGTGACCTTGCCGACCAGGTCAGCCTCAGCGGGAAGAGCATCCAGGAGCTAGAGAAAGCCAAGAAGGCGCTGGAAGGGGAAAAGAGTGAACTCCAGGCCGCTCTGGAGGAGGCAGAGGTTAGGGGGTGGGGTGGACACAGACCCTTCTGCTCCCCTAGCTCCTCCATCACTTAACACATGATCTTGGCTTCCACCCTACACTGCCTACTCTGCACTCAGGGGGCCCTGGAGCTGGAGGAGACCAAGACTCTGCGGATCCAGCTGGAGCTATCCCAGGTCAAGGCTGAAGTGGACCGGAAACTGGCAGAGAAAGACGAGGAGTGCACTAACCTAAGGTACAGGGCCTGGGGCTAGAGGAAGGCCAGCTCTAGCCTTCCTCTGTGGGGCTTCCGGCTCCTGCTGGCTATCCCAGCTACTCAAAGGACACTTGAAGGAAAGCCATGCTTGCTTAAGCTCCACCGTGCATGGGCTGGCACAGACAGGGAGTTTGCCCATGTGACTTTGTTAGGTCCGGATTATCGTCACGTATAAACCTCAGAGACGCTAAAGAACTTGTCCAGGTTACAAGTGGCGATGAAACCAGTAACAAGTAGAGTTCAACCAATAACTGCTCCAGAGTGTCCCTCTTTCCATGAACCTGTCTAAAGAGCTTGAAACCAGACAAGGATCCATCATGTATGGGTTCAGATCTCCAACATTCCACAAGTGTTTTCAAGGGCAGGTGTGGTGCTTCTGCCTATCTCCTCTCAGACCAAGACCCCCACCTTTCATCCCTCCCTTTCAGGCGCAACCATCAGCGGGCAGTAGAGTCCCTGCAGGCCTCCCTGGATGCAGAGACACGGGCCCGAAATGAGGCACTGCGGCTCAAAAAGAAGATGGAGGGTGACCTCAACGATCTAGAGCTGCAGTTGGGCCATGCCACCCGCCAGGCCATGGAGGCCCAGGCAGCCACGCGGATGCTGCAGGCCCAGCTCAAGGAGGAGCAGGCAGGCCGGGATGAAGAGCAGCGGTTAGCAGCTGAGCTCCGAGAACAGGCCCAGGCCCTGGAGCGTCGGGCTGCGCTTCTGGGCTCGGAGCTGGAAGAGCTGCGGGCTGCCCTGGAGCAGGGTGAGCGTAGCAGGCGGCTGGCAGAACAGGAGCTGCTGGAGGCCACTGAGCGCCTCAACCTCCTGCATTCACAGGTGAGGACTGGGCGAGGGGGTGAGTGCACAGGGAAGCCGTGCCCTGTGCCATCTCTGAGGCTCTGCTTTCTCCCAGAACACAGGCCTCCTGAACCAGAAAAAGAAGCTAGAAGCAGATTTGGCCCAGCTGAGTGGGGAGATGGAGGAGGCTGCCCAGGAGAGGCGAGAGGCCGAAGAGAAGGCCAAAAAGGCCATCACCGATGTGAGGCTGGGCTGGGGTTGGAGGGAACCCAAGGGGTCTTCCACTGGGGCTGGTTACCTTTTGCCCATGCTACTTCCTGTCCTATAGGCAGCCATGATGGCCGAAGAGCTGAAGAAGGAGCAGGACACGAGTGCACACCTGGAGCGGATGAAGAAGACACTGGAGCAGACAGTGCGGGAGTTACAAGCAAGGCTGGAGGAGGCAGAACAAGCTGCCCTCCGTGGTGGGAAGAAGCAGGTGCAAAAGTTGGAGGCTAAGGTATGGGTGGCTCTCCTTGTTGCTTCCCCTGCAGGGTGAACTGGCCCAAAGGCAGGCCAGGGTCCCAGGCCCATCCCTGGCTGTTCACAGGTGCGGGAGCTGGAGGCTGAACTGGATGCAGAGCAGAAGAAGCACGCCGAGGCCCTCAAGGGGGTGCGGAAACATGAGCGCAGAGTCAAGGAGCTTGCATACCAGGTGGGGCACTAGGTTCATTCAAGGGGCGGCCCTAGTAATGCAAATGCTGAGTCTCCTTTGCCTGTCCAGGCCGAGGAGGACAGGAAGAACCTGGCTCGCATGCAGGACCTGGTAGACAAGCTGCAGAGCAAGGTCAAGAGTTACAAACGCCAGCTTGAAGAGGCGGTGAGTCGCAGTGGGTCTAGTTCAGGACAGGATGCGTGTGGTGCTCCCACTCAACTGCTGGCACCTGGCTCTGCTGCCGGGTGAGGTGTCAGCAGCGGCTGATGCCGCACCATCTCTCCTCGTGGTTCCAGCGTGTGGGTTCTGTGTCTAGTTAGGCTGCCAGCACAGTCCCCTGACCCTGTCCCAGCAGCAGGAAAGGTAAGTTTCTATCAGCCCCAGCAAGAAGCAAGGCCTAGTTCTGTCTCCTTGAAGGGAGTGGACCAAGGCAGGCAGCCAGGAGTGACTCCCTCACTTCCTGCCGTGGGTAGCAGTGAGGGGAGCAAAGGTGGGGAACTGAATGACCACCTCAGTTACTAAGGCCTGTGCACCCCCAGGAGCAACAGGCCAACACTAACCTGGCCAAGTATCGCAAAGCCCAGCACGAGTTGGATGATGCAGAGGAGCGAGCTGACATGGCAGAAACCCAGGCCAACAAGCTGCGGGCGCGGACCCGCGATGCCCTGGGCCCCAAGGTGAGGGGCAGCAGATTACCTCCTGCCTCTGCACAGGTTCCAGGTAAGGGGTAGGGGGCGCAGCTCACTCGGCCTCTCCCATTAGCACAGGAGTGATGCCTGAGCCCTGCCCCGGCGTCTGCTGTTTGCCACTCACCTTCCTCCAGTTGAGGATCCTCATCTGCTGAGCCTCAGCACCCCCAAGGCTGCCAGACCCTCAATAAATGCCATGGCTGCAGCTCCATCGGCTTCCTTCTCATTCTTTGTTGAGCTTGGGACAGCTCACAGTCCCATGGACAAAAGTCAGGTCCACATCAATCATTTAAAATAAAGTTCTTTTTAATAGCCTCCATTTAATTGGTTTATTTGTTGTTAATGAACTGGCAACACAAGGAGAGGCCAAGGGTGTGCTCCCAGCCTGGGTATCTGGACTCAGGCAGGAGACGACGCTGACCCGGGACAGGCACAGCCACCCCAAGCCCCAAGGATGGAAGGGAAAGGTTCTGTATTTCTGGGGAACCCCCTGGGGAGACCACAGCAGCCAATGAGCAAACAGAACCAGATGAAATGGGGGGTGGAGGGGCCAATGGGCAGGCTTGGGGGAAGGTAGCATTCTCTGGTATCCCCCACTCCTGCCCAGGGGCTCAGAAGCCTCTCTGGGTCCAAAGGCCAGGGCAAGCTTGGCTCACAAAATGGGGGAGGGGCCCATATACCTCTCCCCAACCCAGGACTGACAACCAAGAGACTGGGCAGGGGCTCATACAGAGCTATTTTTAAAAATCCCCTTACCTCTGGACGGGCCAAGATCCAGGATTCTGAAGGAAGGGTGGGCATAGTGCCCCATCCTCATCTTGAAGGAACTAAGGTTCCCAATGACCTGGGGCCCTCAGATCCAGGGGCCAAGGGATTCTAGATGCTCCCTCCTGCCAAGCCTGTCCTTGAAGACCTAGCACAGGCCGAGAGCAGCAGGGAGGCAGTGGAAGGCGGAGACAGGGCCAGATGTGTGGCAGCATACCCACGCTCACCCGCCCTGGCCCAGCAGCCTCCTGAGGCCATGCCCAAGGTCACTCCTCAGTGAAGTCCCTGTCTATGTCCATGTAGGGCTCCTCAATGTAGCTGACAAGAGCAGAGGGTGACTGGCGGTCTGGGTTCAACAGGATGGACACAGTCTCTTTCCAGTATGAGAAGCTGATGCAGGAGCTCTGGGCAAAGAGAGAGGGGCAGTGGGGTGCCTGGAGATACCAGGTCAAACCCAGCACCCGGCAGGGAGGGCCTGGTATGGGGACAAAAGCCACCCACCACTGAGCCTAGGCAGGGACCACGCATCCTGCTGCCCCTCTAGGGCCCTTGGTCTGCATGCCCACAGCCCACCCACCATCGCCTGGGGTGGGGCACTCACATTCTCCAGGCAGGTGCTATCCTTGTCCTTGTGCAGGTAATGTTGCTGCCAAAAGCGCAGCAGGTTGTGGAAGTTGTTGAGCAGGAAGCCGGGGTACTTCTTGCTGTGCTCCATCCGCTGCAGCAGCCGCAGGTACAGGGGCAGCCGCTCTTTCCGTCGGGCCAGCATCAGGATCACCAGGCTGGTGTTGAGGCAGCTGACATTCTCCTACAAAGCCCCAGGCCAGCTGGCTTAGGTAAAGTGAGCCCCGGCAGGGAGGAGGCTGTACCAGGCCCAGACCCAGGAGGACGGTGGCAGAGTCCACGGTCACATGCTGAGTTGCCACGACACAAACCAGGACGACCAGGAAAAGGACCAAAGCCAGCACCTGGCCCCAGCACCTTCCTGGTCCCCAGCCTACTCCCAAGTCATCCCCACCCTGTGGGAACAACTGGTCTAGCTAAGAGTCTGCTCCGCTTCCAGAATCTGCATTGTTTCTTCTTGGAAGCTTCCATCTCCAGGGCAGGGCTGGGTGCACGCCTCAGAAACAGCTCTTTAACTTTCACTCAGCGTTAGATGTGGAGACTCAAGACAGAGGAGTCTCGGTCTGTTAGTTCACAACCTTCCCAGTCTCCACAATGTGTGATGAAGAACAAAAGAATACTGAGAAGTACCAGTATTACTCTGCTTTAGACAAAAAGGGCTGTTATGCTTGGAGACGGGACAGTTGCAGTTATCTAGAGAGAAGCGGGAGTCAGCTTCAGGTCCAAGCACAGCAGGCCGGGTGAGGAGTGCACTGGACAGCGAGTCAGACCAGCATTTGTCCCTAACCTCAGAGGCTTGCTCCCTCCCCAGGCTCCATCTGTAAAGTGGCAAACATGCTCATAATAGCTTGGAGTGCTTCCTAGTAGGCAAGAAATGGGTGTCAGGAGATACACTTCTAGAATGAGAGTGAGAGGTCAGCTCTGTTGGGCTGACGAGGGAAACCATTTCCAATCTCCCTTTCTTCCTGCACATCTGCCGGGGATACTCACCTGGGTCAGCGTCTGCACGTGGATGATGTTGATGAGGCGGAAGAGGAAGGACATCTGTGTGGGCACCTGGGATATGTAGGCAAGGAGGCGGCACTCGGACAGGACCTCAGCCACTGGGGACAGAGGCAGCTGTGAGCAGCAGGCTCTGAAGCTGCCCCACGGCTTGAGCCCACAAGCCTGCCATCCAAGCCTCTAGTCAAGCCTCCTCTGGCTCCCTCTTGGGAGCCCCCCATTGTCAAACAGCTGGCCGAAGCAGGAACAAACCTCCAGCTGTCCTGCCACCCAGATCAAGTCTGCGTCCTCTTGAGAATCTGCACCAGAGTTCACCACCTCCTCTCTCTGAGGCCCGCCCCAGGCACCACCACCTTAGTCTGTCTCACCCCAATAGTCCTAGTTCAGGAGAGCAAGGGCATTTTGTTTTCTTGGTTTTTGTCCTTTGCTGGCAGCAAAGGTTTTTCACCTTTATTAAAAGTGTACATGTTCATTAAAGGAAACACGGATGGCACAGAAAACTAAAAACAAAGATAATCACCCAGAGTCACCACAGTGACCCCTGTCATGGTGCAGCTACTTCCAGTTATTCTTGCCTCCTTGCTAGAAGCTGGATGTCAGTCCAGGGCAGCGGCACTGGACTGAATCACCTTGGCACTCCGGGTTTTCTTACCTTTCATGTCCACCTGGCTTTCAAACCGGTCCAGGGACAGAGTGACGCAGCGCACCAGCATGTTGGAGTCCACCAGCGAGCTGTTGATCTGTTTCAGGAACACCTGGAACTGGAGTAGAGACCAAGCTCCACCCCTGCTGGACAGTCACAGCACTGACCTCCCCCAGCCTGGGGTTTCTACAGAAAGATGAAGGCTTCCCCTCCTCCTAACAAGCAGGCCCAGCAGGAGCTTACCCCAGAGCTTCTGACACTGTGTCCAGTGCTTTTTGCACAGAAGGGAGCAGGAATCCTCTTGTTTTTACTTCAGCTAAGCTGAGTGGGTTTCTGTCACACACTGGCGCGAGTCTCACGTACCAGGCCCAGTCCCGCTCTCCGAGGGCTCAGCCTGGTCCTTTCACACTGGACCGCAGCTGTTTTCGTATCTCACCTACTCCTGCCCACAACCTGCTCCCGTCTAGATTCTCATCTGAGGATGCTGGTACTTCCAGAGGCAGACCAGCCCCCCCACAGCTCACCAGGTTGAGGGTATACAGCCATGGCCTCTCTCACTGGAACTTAGTGGATGCTGGCCACAGACTACACACTGGCTCCCCACTAAGCTCTGAATTAAAACCAGCACTGGAAGGTGAGCCAGGACCATCTTCCAAAATAACTTTTGGCCAAAGCAGCAGACCCCTGGAGCCTTGGGTTAGCCTTACCTTTGCATCAGTGTTGATATATTTATTAAATCTCTTGAATGCATCCACATTGAATTTCATCAGCTCTCCCAGGAGATCAAAGTAACTCTGGAGCACATCCCTTGACTTGCACTCGCTGTCCACGATGCAGTACAGGATGTGCTGGGGAGTGGGGGAGGACACATGAAGGCAGCAAAATGGCTGAGCCCTGGCAGATACAGCTGCTGCCCCTGGGCTGTGCTCATCTAAATGGTGACCACCTGCCTCCCACCAGGGCTGGCACAAAGCTCAGCACATGTGACATTTGCTTCTAGGTTGACAGAAGCTGCCACCCTGTCTAGATTCTCATCTAAGGACGCTGGTAGTTCCGAGGGCAAGGCCAGCCCCCACAGCTCACCAGGTGGTGGGCAGTTTGAGGGTAGGTAGCCATGGCCTCTCTCACTTGCCCAGGGCTCAGGGCCACGTCTCTGACCCTGCTCTGTGGTCACCAGAGGACCAGGGCTTTCCAGCTTGCAGCAAGGGGAGCTGCTACCAGGTATATGGCTGCTGCCTGAGCACAGGGGCCACAAGTGAAGCACAGAGTTTATGGGCACAGGACACATCTGACCCCATGGTTTGTAGTTGTGTTTACAAATGAAATTATTTAAATAGTTTACACTAATTAAAATCAAGAACCCAAAGCCAATTTAACTCCTTGATAAAGTTTTCTATGACAGTATGACTGTTACATTTTCCGGAAATTATACTGATTTGGATCAGTTCTTTCCCACAAGGATTTTAAAATTCACAGGTCAATTTCTTGTTCATAAATTAAAACAAAACAAAAACCATATAGCTTGGCCATTTTGTCCCCATTCCCTCTCTGGTATATTTTGCTTCTTATATCCCTGAGTATATTTTTGACCCTGAACATATTCTGCCTCTGGGTAATTCTACAGGCGTTCTCATATCCCTCCATGGTGACCTCCCAAATCCCTCAATTCCCACTAAGCACCCATGGGGGCACCCGCAATTGGAAACTTGAGGCAAATACTAGGAAAATATGCTGGCATTTTAAAGTAAAGGCATTGGTAGCCTCCCTCCTGGACAGGAAAGTAGTGCAAAGGGCTGGGGAAGAATGGGGTACCCGACACCCTGGCTCCTTCAGGCCATTACCTCCAGAAGGCCTCGCTTCAGCAGGAACATCTGGTCTGCATAGGAGGTGGTCCCTCGGAGGAAACTCTCCACAGCCCGGGCTTGCCAAAACCTGCAACCAAAATGTTGACCCCTGGCCCAGGTGGCTAAGGCTGCCCTCTTCTGGCCCATGCTCCATTCCCCCAGGGGCTGGGAGATGTGCGCTGCCTCTTCATTTATTGAACAGACATTTACTGATAGTCTACCTAGGCGTCAGTCCTCGTACTAGGCAATGGGATATAGCAAGAGTCCCCAAACTTGTGGAGCTGACAGCCCAGTGGGGAATGGTCTTCTGTTTGGTTCTCTCTGGAAGGAGGAGGTGACATGTAGAATCAAGGGGTTGGACCCAGTGAGTCACATGTAAAAGTGCACACTACGCTTTGCCCCCTCAGAAGATCAAGAGGGCATGAAGAGACGGAATGTGTGAGGCAACCAGACTAACACATGCAGCTGGGCCATGAGCCCACTTCTGACAGCTGCCCTAGAGAGGTGGAGGAGTCGCTGATGGAGGGAGCCGGGAAGGCAGAGCTGGGGCCCATGGCCATGAGTCTGGACAAGACAGGCTGAGGTAACAGGAGCATATCTGAGGATGGAGCCTATTGACTGACTGCTCACAGCCCAGCCCTGATGGAAATCCTCTCACTGGCTGCTCCCACCCACAGCTTTCAAGACTCAGCTAGAAGAGTCTAAGGAATGTTCAGAAGTGGCCTCCCCACGTCCATCCCCATGAACCCAGCAGAGAAACGGGTTTTCCTTTTGCTCCTGGGCAGGTCCTTGCTCCCTTCCCTCCCACACTGCACTGCAAAGGGCTTTCTATGCTTGCTTCCCACAACCCAGGGAACCCCAGGTGGGCAGAAACTGAATCTCCTATTTCTTTTCCACCTGTCCAGTGCCTGCACAGAACAGGGGCTTGGTGAATGCTCGGTCAGTTCTCGAAACACACAGCCAGTCAGCAGAAGCCAATACATGCCTGCAGAGGTGACATGTGGGGAAACTGCAGCTGAGCCCCGCCCCCCGCAGAAACCAGAAGTCCAAGGTGGAAGCTGGCAACTAAAGGAGGTATTTCTGACCACCTGTGAAACACCTGACTCCTGGCTGCCCTGGGAGCATCAGGGATCTGTCTTCAGCCCTACCTGAATGATGACTCGGCTGGCTCCTTCTTCATGACCTGTAGCAGACGAGTTAATAAGCCCCTTTTCCCATCACAGACCAAACTCCTGAAATAAAATAGACAAGGACATTGATGGCAGATCTGACAGGGGCCAACTTCCACCTGGCCAAAGGATCAGTCTTGGGGCAATGGGCGTGGGTCTCTCTGCTGGCTTGGGGGGGGGGAAAGGTTGAGACATTATTAAGCCTGGAGGATGCCCTTCCTGTTCTAGCTGAGTCTAGAGCACCCCGAGGACTCCTTCATTTAGAACTGAGGAGCTGCGTGTGTTCACACCCACCTCTGGCCAGCTTTCCCTTTCCAGACTCACTCACAAATGATTAGAGGCCAGAAACACCTTTGGAATCAGAAAGGACTCAGAACTGCCAGGGGGAAGTCTGTTTACTTCAACAGTGGGTCTGAAACAGTCTGCCAGATGGGGCAAAGCCTGCGCAATAGGGTGAGGCAGAGAGTAGCCTGGGCCCCGGGTTTAGCTCTCGCTGGCCTTGGACAGGGATCCTGGTCTCTGGGCCTGAGCATATTCATCTGGGAAGCAGAAAGGCGATAAGGAAATGACTCAGGCCATATCATGGGGGCAGAGAAGGCTGGCAAGGGTTTGTACCCTAAAACTCTCAAATATAGCAGCTCTACAGATACCAGGGCAAGCTGTGTACAATCTCATCTGAACATGGAATTCTGCTGCCTTAAAAAAAAAAAAGTTGGGCAACTATGACTCCTGTTGCTTGACCCTGAGAACCTGTGGCCTCTATCCCTGCTCTAAAATATGAAGCAAAGCAAAGCCTTGGGAGTAAGACTTGGCAGAGGGCAAGAAGAAATATGCCAGCAAAGGTGAGTGACAAGAGAAGGGAGCAGAGCACATATGACCTTTGGCAGGTGGCCTCCCTGAGCCCCTGCTCCCTCATCTGTAAAGTGGAGGTGATGCTGGCACTCCGCTCTTGGGGCTGCTCTGAGGCTCCCGTGAGATGATAATGCGGCTAATGTGAGGACAGTGCCTGGCACACAGGAGCCCTCAGGACAGTGTAGCTACATGTGAGGAAAAAGGACAATTATGTAGACCTGTGTGTATCCATCAATGAGCACCAGGGCTGTGAGCCAGGAGTTGGGGGACGGTTGTGGGTCAAAGCTGCACCCCACCCACACTCACCTGTCAGTATTAAGGACAGCTTCTACTTCAGGGATATTGGCCTTGAGAGAGATGGCACTGAGCTCATTCAGCTCCTGGTTGTTGAGCAGCAGGTACTTGTTCCTGAAACAAGCCGGGGAGGGGGAATCTGAGCATGACCCAGATACCTCCTAGGAGCCTTATTCTGCAGGCAGACACATGGCTCTCAGGCTGTAGGAGTCCACCTGGCCCCTACCCTGCCTCTCTGCCGGACATCTTCACTAATAAGGAACCTTCCCTCGACATATCCAGGCCTTTTTTTTTGGTCGTGGAACATTTCTATTTGATTCTTCAAAGGAAACTTCCACTCAGTAATATTCAAATCCAACTCATCACCTTACTTCTCAAACCTGCTCTTATCCCAGCATTCCCACAGGAATCAGTTGGCTCTGATACTCCCTTCTTCACCCTTCACATCCAGATGTGTCCGCCTGCATCATGTGGACAGAACCAACTTCCTAAACGGCCTCCCCACAGGAATCAGTCCACACACAGTACTGAGGCTGATCTTCAGAAAATGGAATGAGATCACATCATTCCCCTGTTAAAAATGTCTTGCACTGCTTTGGAATCTATAAGCCCAGCCTGTGAATGTGACCCACCAGGCTCTGTGCCAGCCACCACCTTCACAGCCTCACTCTGAGCCAAGCCTTCCTGCCACATATCAATGTCCACACTTACATCCCTGAATAGGCCACACTCCCTCCTGCGGGGCCACTACAAGCACCCCCGCTCTAGCTAGAAAACTTGCCCTCTCACTCCTCCTTTTTACCTAATTTACTGCAAACGATCTTTCAGGTCCCAGCTGACAAGTACTCTGAAAGGAAGAGTTGCTGACTACTGTGGTCAGGACCCCAGTCAGACATTCCTTCACAGAATCACACTCCTTTCCTCCTGAACATTCTCCATCTGCCACTATGCGGTCACTGAACTTACGTCATGGCTGTTTTCGCTCATCACTGTCTCCCCAGGTTCCAGCACAGTGCCTGGCACATCCAAGTGCTCAGATTTGAGAAATCTCACCAAAACCTACTTGCTAAGGGGAAAGTGCACATTCATAACATACTGGCACTGTTTTTTTAGGTTTGGTTACTTCCTGGAGGCCACTCTAAAGCCTTGGAAAACCTCTCAAAGAAGCCGATGAACATGATCCAACCAAACGCTGCCAAGAAGCACGTAGGTCCACATTTGTCTTCAGGCATGATCTGTTAGCTTATAAAATGTTTCAAAACAAATTTAAAGCAACATGAACAGCAGGATCTTTCACACATATCCTAACCGCTGACGGGCAACATTCAGAAGCCATACAGCATGGGAACCAGCTCCCTGACACGGACAACTGGCAGTGACTAAGCAGCAGCATCAAGTTCACCAGAGTCCCAGCATAGTGTTTCCCCAAAGTTAAGGGCCAGCTGCCATTCACCCCTCTCTGGTCCTGTATTCCTTAGAGCAGAAGATTACTCTCGTGTGCATTTGCCACTGAAGGTGAACAATTAAAAATGAGAGGGCAAAAAAAAAAAAAAAAAAAAAAATGAGAGGGCAGAAAGTATTTCAAAATACTGAGGGAGCACGCTGCCCTGGGCAGATGAAGAACAGTCCATGCGCTCAATAAGCAAAGTCAGCTCCTGCCAGTCCCTACGACTCACCCAGCTTGCCGTTTCTGGTCTTGAGAGGTATGTGACAGGGTAAAGGGTGGGCACATGGCAATTCTCAGGACAGTGGCCAGAAGTGCACCACACTTGACAACATAACAGCAAGTGGCACCAAGGTGACCATGGCTCTCCCACCCTCTCCTCTTGCTGGTGAAGTCAGCACGGGACAGAGAGCAAGGAAAGGAGCACAAGTCCCTTTCCAGGGATCTCGTACTTACTCGTGGTGGTCGCTGAAACTCTGGAGAAGCCTCAAAAACTGAATCTTCAAGGTGATGTCCTAAAATACAGGTACATCATTGATGTTAAAACCAGTCACAATGTTTCAAACAAAAGAAAAACAGTCGCTGAGAGCCTGGGATGTGGCTCTGCTGCTCTGAACCTCTGTCCTGGAGCTCAACAAGGGCTTTCTTCAGTCAGAAAACCACTCGCTGACTTCTACATCTGGCCAACAACAGATTAAGCCAACAGAGACCCTTCCTGTCAAATACACAAACCCAATACTCTGCATAAAAGTCTGCATCAGCAAAATTCTTCTACATATGAGGCTAAGTTCTTAAGAAAGAAAGGAATATCTACAGGAACCATAAATGATGAAGAAAGAATCGCGTTCAGGGCAGTGGGCTAAGGATGAACAGTTCCACGCTGCATGAAGAGAAATCGAGACTTGTGAGAGGTCTAGAATTCAACCTCTGGCAGGGATCTGACAGAGCCTGGGGCTTGTAAGGCTGGGATGTATGCATCTGGTGGAAGACGGGCTAGAATAACCAACTGATCAGCCAGTGGCAATCAGAGGGCGTCCCAGCAGCAGCACGACCGAGTCACACTACCAAAGCGGCAGGGTCAGGACACTCAACATGCAACCTCGCCCAGGAACAGTCACACCCCATGAGGTACCTGGCAGACAGAAGCCAAATGCTCTGTAGAAATACTTTCAGGCCCACGCTACATGGGTACTACCAGGGAAAACAAGCCTATGAAAGGTGAGCTCTCCATGAGCATTACAGAACATGAGGCAACCCCCTACCTACAGTTAAGTCTCAAGACACACAGTATACCCTAACCATCTGAAAGAGACCATAAAAAAAGTATGTTACAAATGATTAGCGAGATAAAGTGCAAGAGAAAAATAAAACATTAGCATAAAGAATAAAATATTAGTATAAAGTCTAAGCAGTTTCTGACAAAGTCAGAAAGAATGTCTAAAAGTGCAGACTGTCGTTACTTAAAATAATGCATGGATGGGTGAGAGGTCAAAGAGAAATATGGTGAAGTGGAAAAAGAGCCCCAGGTAAAGTGCCCAGGTCCTTGGCACTGAGGCTATGGGGCACTTTGAGAACCAGGGCACTGCCTCCCATGCTGCTGGCTGAGCCTCCACTCAGTCTGTGAGGTCAGCAGGCCAGGGAGTGTGAGCTTCCTCGTGCAAAAGCAGAGGTGCAGAGATTTAGTGACTCGCTCAAGCTCTCAACAAACTGAGAGACACAAAAAGCCTCAACTCCCCAGGTCTGTGCTGTAGGGTTGTAGGGCACTAAGAGAGACAAGGTGGAGGTGAGCCCTTGGTTCCTTAAAACAGGAAAGCATTCTAGCCCCTCCCTGGTGGCACAACGGGTTAGGATGCAGCACTGCAAGCTGGCTGCAGCCACTCCAGTGCGAGCTTGATACCCGGTCCTGGAGCTGACCCACATGGCGCTACAGACCTCTCCTGACCTGCCCGCTGCTCCCCTTAACAGTGTATTTCATCCATCTGCCTGTTGTGCTCCCTGCTCTGTCTCTGGTGAAACCTCTCAGCCCCTCTGCACCTCTGGCCTATACTCCAGTTCTGTATGCATAAATAAATAAATCTTTAAAAAAAAAAAAAGGGAAGGAAAGCAAAGCATTCTAAACTCTTTATCGATGCAAACCACTGGCAGTGCAAGTTTCTAAAAGGCGAATGAATGCAAATTGAATGCAATGTGGTAAAGAACAAAATAAAGAAACTTGCTCCTGGCTATCAGTGTGAGCACTTCTGCCTGGAGGGGAGTGAGCTCCACATCTTAGAGGGGTACAGGGTGACACTGCTGGAGGACCTCAAAGGCATTTCTGCATAAGTAGAGGTGTGTAGCCACACCCTACCTCGGGAGCTTTCCCTGGGACAAGCCCTGACTTTCAGGGTCGGCTCTACCCTCCAAGAATGTGATTTCACAAGGCCTACATGGCGGGTCTTGAGAAACTACACCTGGTATTTAAAGCCCTGTTTGTCCCCAGACTTTCTTGCTTACCGGGCTACAGTCACAGTTCTGGTTGTGACCATGGAGGACAAGGGTAGACGCTGAATGCTTCCTCCAAATCAACTTGTCAAACAAATTATTGAGTCCAGGAATCAATTTGAACTCTGCGATCATTCTGTGAACCTGGAAGTGGAGAGGAACACAAAGGCTTTAAGGCAAATGCCCTGCAGAGTGCTTGCTACTTAAGACCTGGCTAAGCACATACAACAATTTTCAGGACAAAGAAAGCAACAGTCAGCAGGGAGTACTGATGTTTAAAGAAAATGCCTGTGCGTTCCCCAGCCCCCCCATACACAGTGTGCTTCTTAACTCTGCTCTTAGTCCTCACAGTATTCCTACGCATCACACTGTATAAAGTCCCATTTTAAGAATGGGAATCTTGTACTCAGATAGCCCATGCTGTATCCTCAGCTCCACTGTGTATAAATTTCATAGTCTTAGCACATTCCTTAACCTTCCTAGCTTGTTTTCTCCATATATCATCAAAATAAAGCTGCCAGTGTCCCTCATGCTTCACACACTATAAATTTCAACTGGAGGCAAGGTAAAAATATTAAAAATAAAATTCTAAAGAAAAATCTATACAAAGACTTTAAAAAGAATGGTCAAAGAATGAGAAAGTCTATCTCAAGTATTACGCTAAACCTAGACACCAAAGAGCAGGCTGCTGAATTCAAACACACAAACCTTTTAAAGTTCTACATGGCAAAACTCACAATAAGATAAATTATAATAAATAAGACAAATGGACAAAATATTGGCAGTCTTATGTCACAGGCAAAGAGCCAATTTCCTTGATAAGGAATCCTAAAAATCTCTTACACAAAAAGATCAACCCTACAGAAAAAAAATGGGTAAAGGATACGGACAGGACAAAGATTAAAAAAAAAAGGTTGGCCCTCCCTGGTGGCGCAGCGGGTTAAAGCGCAGAACTGAGAAGCTAAAGCCACTTCTGCATGAGTTGGATTCCCGCCTGCCCCGGAGGTGACCACATGGCGAGGCAGACCTCTCCTGACCCGCCCGCTGCTCCCCTCAGCAGTGTACTTCGTAGATCTGCCTGTTCTGCTCCCGGCTCTGTCTCTGGTGAAGCCTCTCACCCCTGATGGGCCTCTGGCCTGTACCCCAGTTCTGTATGAATAAATAAATCTTAAAAAAAAAAAGTTAAAATTAAATATATGTAAAGTGGCCCAGCCTCACTTGAAATATTAACAGAAGCTATAGTTACAAACAAATTTTCACTTTTTCAGATAAACAAGAATAAAAAATTTTCTGACATGGATGAGGTGGCGATGGGCACACTGAGACGCTGCTGCTGGGGCCGTATCACGCTGTGTGTCCAGTCTGGCAAGATCTCCTCCTGCAGTTGAGCAGTTCTACTTTAGGAATTCAGCCTAAACAGATCCATATGAATCCCAATACGGTGGATATAAAACTACTCCCCACCGCTACACCCACCAATGGATACCGGGTACTGGCTGCATGGTTACCGTGCATCCATTCACTGTAACTGAAAATGGGAATTATTTCCAACTAAAGACAGGTTACATTTTTACATAACAATACAAACCTATTACCATCTCTTCTGAGGGCTGCTGTGGGAGAAAAGTCCTGAGCATCGCCACTATATAAGGGGAAAGGTCAGCAGAACAAGACTCAGGCAAGGTCAGTGGTGCACTGTCACCCTAGTTCAGTCATTGTGGCCCTAAAGCCCGCCCTTCTCCACCCCACCACTGCATGCATTTGCCTTGGGAGACGAAAACTTAACAAAGTTCTGTGACTCTGGGCAACATTCTTTATACCCAAGTTCCTTCAAGGAAAATGAGGGGTAACAGAGCTGTTGAAAGAACTCAGTGAGAGTTCTGTGGGAGAAATTTGGGCATGCCTTATAGGGAGTACCCTATAAGCACTTACTTACAGGAAGTGATTATATTCATCAGAATCAAAGGGATAGAACTTAGGGCACTTGGGAAATGTTGCAAGTCTAGTGATTCCAATTTAGCCAAGACTGCCCCAACCACACAGGAATAAGACATGTTACCAGGAAGACATCCCAGTCTAGGTGGGTCTGGAAATCCACACAGGCCCAGTGCTTAGACACTGCAGGGTCTCACTAAAAGCTGACTGTGTTAGACTAACGTTGCTTCTCAGTCAAGCAGGATTCTGAAGCCAATTGAGTTCCTCCCAAGAAAGGAAGTGGCTCTGTAATCACAGTTTAAAGACCCCCCAAGACTCACAGAAACTTGGTAAGGAACAAAGGACTGATGTACTGAGGGGCTAGAAAGAGGAGCCAGAAGAAGAGTTTAAATATTGGCTTTACCAGTGCCTAGGGAAGAAAGGGCCTAAGTGTTTTGGACTTTCTGTTTTGCATTTTAAAAGAACAGGTTTATTAAGGAAAGGAAAAAGGGAAAATGGAGGTACCTGCATAGATATATAGGAGCGCAGAGAGCTACTGTTGCTGCTGCTGCTTTTGAAAGGGAATAGTTAGTAAAGAGATGCTGCATAAACACTGGCAGACAGTGTTGGGACAAGAACAGCTGCAGGAACCTTTCTGCGCCTTTCAAGGTGGAGAGGGGAGCACCACCTATAGTTTAACTCATGAAAATTAAAATATGAATAACTATAAAATATGAAAGCAACTCAACCCATGTAAGACATCACAACTACTATTTCTGTAACAAATCCATTCCATGTGGACGGGACTCCAACACTGTGGCTATCAAGATGGGCTCCCACCTACATTAATGAACCGCAAAGTTCTTTCAGCCCTCTCCCCAAACTCCAGGCGTGGGGAATTCAAGTGTCAGTTCTGACACCTTAAACCTAACCTGTTTAAACAGAATTCCTCACTGCCAGTCTTAGTCATGCAGCAAATGGCACACCCATCCTCCCACCTCTTAGGCTAAAACCCTGGAAGGAGTTAAATCATATTAACTATTCTCTCATACCCACATCTAAGCAACCAGCAAATCCTACCTGTTCTTCCTTCAAAACATATCCAGCACACAAGCACATCCCAGCACTCCCACCACGCTGGACGCCTAGCTACTGTCTTCTCTTCCACAGGAGTCAGAGCAGTGACTTCCCATTTCACTCAGAGACAAACACTAAAGCAGGGGCCTCCCTGTAGCCTCGGGTTATGTCTCAGCGCTATCACCACTGCAGACTGAGTCTAATCCCAGGCCAGGGAGCTGACCCACATGACGCAGCAGACCTCTCCTGTCTCGCCTGCTGCTCCCCTCAGCTGTGTATTTCAGAAGATCTGTCTGTTGTGTTTGCCAGTGTCTCTGGTGAATCCTTTCGCGAATCCTCCACCCCTGGACTACACCCCAGTTCTTCTACACACACAAAAATACCCCACTGAAGTACTTAAAATGGTCTACGAAAAGCCTGATGCTATCCACCCCTGGCCCTCAGTCCTCCTCTCCTGATGCTCATTTTAGTCCCCCTCCCGGAGCATGCTTACTGCTCTACCAACCCGCCAGATATGCTCTCACCTCAGAGGCTTGTTCCCTCGACCTAGCAGGCCACCTGGGGATGAGCATGCCCATCTTTTACTCTTTCTTCCAGACCTTCCAGACAATGTCATGCCAAACACCATCTGGTCAGTGAGTCTTTTCCTGGCTATTCTACCTAAAACTGTACCTCACTTATAAATAAAAATAGCTGCAACCATCTCCCACGGGGCTTTGACAGTCCAGTGTCAAACTCAAAGTGGTGCTTGAGGACTACTGAGCACCTCACCCCTTCCACCTAGCTTTATCTCTCAGAGAATTTCAAGGCTATCAGAAGAGGGCTACTTCTCAATCTTGAAGAGAAGTGTTGCATACTTCCTGAATCTTCTTTTGCCCTTTGGAGGTTTTAGGTACTTGCTCCTCCCTCTGGGAACTGCTTCAAAATTCAGGCACCCCAGCACACATGGGAGCTCCCTTGCAGCCTCCTGGTTTTCAGAAGCTAACATTGCTCTCGCCACCCTGAGCCCTCACCAGATGAGCAACTCCTCCAGTGCATCTACAGGAAGTTGTTTTGCCATCACTAATGTTTTATTCTTCACATTAAAAATGTCAGGTAACAAAAAAAAAAAAAAAAAAAAGTCAGGTAACATAGCTAAGCTACCCACTTTCATCCTGGATACTGACATTCTATCTGGAAATACTGCCCATAGCAAGGTATAATAGAAAGACTACAAGCTCTGGAATCTGACTGGTTTTCTTATGTGCAAAACAGGAATAAGGAAAACCACCCCTAAACTTTGTGGGGTCAAATGAGAGCCATTCTAAGTTAGCATACTACAAACATCCAGGCAGCATCTGCTCCTGGTTCCCCATTCTGAGACAACAGGGGAGGCCCACCTGGTTTCGCTGACGCCCCATCAGTAGCACACAGAGAACATACAGCACTTCCAGTTTGTACATGATCTCATGCATAATCTTCATTGACTGGGGCAGCTGAGTCCTAGTTGCAGTGTGAGGCAGGCCATTCTCCTCAGAAGCCCCTGGAGGATGGAACACAATGGAGGCTGAAATAGCCACCAAGATAAAGGAATGAGTCATTTTTTGTGAGGAAACATGTTTCTACCCGTAAACCTACTCTGAATAGACTGAGACTAGCTTGAGCTCAGAACTGTGACAACGATGTTCAACACCATACACCTCCCTTTAAGCTCTTAGGGGCCAAGCTAGCTTAAAACCATAGAAAAAAATGTTTCTGCAGTTCTTTTTGAGCTCATTAACTTTAATAAAAATATTCTGATAGTCAGTACAGTAATATAATCCATACCTTCCTCCCATAGTCCTTTCTCCTATCACTTATCAAGCCCCAAGAAAGACAGGTTTAACTGGAAACTGCACCAAACTCTCTTATGGTTACAAAGGAGTATTTCGTCCCTATCTAGAATTCACAAGGGAAACATTGCTGAAAGAGAGGGGGTGGGTGCTTTTTGAAGATTCCCCCCTTACTTTCCAAAGAACCAGTTAAAGCTTTCTACGTTTTAACTTATTTTTTAAAAAGATTTATTTATTTATACATACAGAACTGGGGTACAGGCCAGAGGTCAGGGGGTGAGAAGATTCACCAGAAAAAAGAATAGGGAGCAGAACATACAGATGTACTGAAGCACACTGCTGAGGGAAGCAGCGGGTGGGTCAGGAGAGGTCTGCCATGCCATGTGGGTCACCCCCCTGGCCAGGAATTGAGCTCATGTTGCAGAGGCTGCGATAGCTTCATAGTGCTGTGCTTTAACCTGCTGTGCCAGTAGGGAGGGCCCTCAAGTTTAACTTTTTAAGAAAGACTGGGTATCATAAATGCTACTTTTGATACAGAAGAACAAACATATTGCATACTAGCAGATTTCATTATGCCCAATGAAACAGTAGCAGCAGCCTATAACAATGTACCAGGCATTGTGATTTTGGCTTTTGGTAGACCATTTTATGTAATCTATTACCCAGTTAACAACAACAAAAAAGGTCTCAGTCAGTTATGCAGGCCATGGTAGAGTGTACACTCGGGCAGATGGCAGAGCGAAATGATGAGACTGAGGGCTCTGGAGTGAAAATTTCTTGGCTATCTGACTCTGGGTAAGCCAGCTCATCTCCTGCCTTAGTGCTGTAAAGTGGGAATAAGTCTTGTTCTTAATTAAGGACCTAACAGGCTCCTTTTCTTTGCTTAACACCAAAATCTACAGTGTTTTTGAGAATATCCTTAGGCTTGACCTTTCCAGCACTTACCACCTATTATCTCTCCCCAGAGCAAAAATCTCAGTGCCACTACTCTGAGCAAGGATGGTAGTTTCTCGTCTGTGCAGTGTGCCTCTTCCTGCGTGGAACTTCTCTCCTCCAAGTGAGGTAGAGCAAGGACAGAAGGGGTCACACAATTCTTGGCCTGCCAGATGTTGGGTAGAGCTGCCATACTATAGTACAGAGGAGGAGAGGTGACCCTGGCATTATGCTAAATGAAATAAGACAGAGAAAGAGAAATACTGTATGCTATCATATGTGGAATCTAACAAAGCCAAAGTCAGAGAAACAGTAGTGTGATGGTCAATCAGGAGTTGGTGGGGTGGGAAGGGAAGAGAGACATTGGTCAAAGGGTATAAACTTCCAGTAATATGTCTTGCAAATCCAATATATAGCATGCTGATCCCAGGTAATAACACTGTATCATATACTTCAATGTTGCCAACAGTAAATTTTAAGTGTTCTCACCACAAAAAAGAAATAGTTAATTAGTGGCAGAATACAGATGTTAGTTAGATAATGCTATGGTAGTAATTACTTTGCAAATGCATCAAGTCAAATTGTTGCATACTTTAAATATAAACAATATTACATGTCAATTATATCTTAATAAAATAAAGTTGGAGGGTGGGGTAGCCCCTGACCTCTTGGCCATACTCATCAAGAATTTAGCCTCTTCAACTCAGAGATGGAAAGGATGAGAAGAGCTGGCAGCCTGTCCTCTCAGTTAGATAGAGTACATCTTGTTTAAGAGGAAAGAGGAAGCCCTATCCTTCTGGCTACCCCTGCCCCAAGTAGAACTTCAATTAAGCAGGACTTCAAGTGTCATAAATTGTTTTTGCAGTGTTTTAGATTTCTTAAAAGAAATGTTTATTCCTGCATGCTTTGAATAATGTCCCTAGACTTGATTGCTTTTCATTAATGTTTACATATTTATTTATAGTTTCACTGGGAAACTGGTCCACAGAGCTCTACAAATTGCTATCCTGGAATAGAATACCTACCCCCCCTTCATTTTCATCTACATGATCACAGAGACTTTCTGGGTTCATACAATGTGACCCATCCCACTCGCCTGAATCAAATGCTTCAGGGTTGAGCACTTGACTTAATATAGACTGGAGTCCTTCATTAGGAATTTTCTCACTCACTAAGCAGGCTAATCATCAGAACACAAAAATAAGGGAGACTAAAAATTTGTAGGTTAAGAAAGACCTCTTTAGGTTCCTGAGAATATGCTGGTTACTTATTCCAGTCTTTTCTAAAGTTCTGCCACAAAGCCCTTCTCTCAGCAATCAGGTTCCCTTCAAGGGAGTTGAAAGAGGTTTCCATCACTACCTAGCAAAAGTTTTAACAGTCATGATTTTGGGCTGTCCTAAAGAAAATTTTGTTTTAAGCAAATTTCACATAAGCCTTGAAAAAGGAAGTTAAAATTATTTCAAAAGTCCAAAGAAAGTTCCCCATGTTTCAGGAAACACACCCAAGTACCTTGATTGTGCTCGGATTCCTCATTAGCCACTCGCATCAGGGCATCTAGCACCAAAGCATTGTCTAGCCATGTGTACCACTCCTCCAGTTCCTGAAGGAAGCTGGCTGTGCCCGTTGACTCTGACACCTTTCGAGTTGCCAGTTTGCAAAGCCTCTCAACAAAGCCAGGGATGCTGAGAAGGGCCGCTGCCAAGGAGAGAAAAGGGGATTTTCAAAACAGAGACCAACTCTAATGCTCAACAAACAACCTGCTCCTCACCTGCATGATTTTTAATCAGACTTCAGCTAATCAGAAGTTCCCTTTAAAATGAAATGTTAAGCTAAGGTAAGACAGTAATTAATTTGTAAGTTCAATTTTCAGCAGGTGCAGGAGAACAGGCATTCTCATATCTAGAAGTGGGAATATAAGTAAGAATCATATTTATAATAATATTTATGTATTACATCTGTGTCTCTGAACAGAAGGTCCATTTCTGGGAATTGGAAACAGGTGCTCGAACAATACATGTAAACACGTGTTTATAGCAATACTATTAACAATAGCCAAAAGGTAGAAACAACCCAAAAGTCCATCAATGGATGAATGGATAAACTGTGGTATATGGATACAATAAATATTCAACTATAAAAAGAAAATACTGACATGCTGATGGACCTCAAACATGTTTGGTGAAAGATGCAAGACACATGATACAAATTTGTATCACTCCATATATAAAAAACATACAGGACAGGTCCACAAAAACAGAAAGCAAGCAGTTGTCAGGGGGTAGGAGAATGGGAAATATCTACTTAAATATGTATTTAATCTACCTGCACAAATGTAGATATAATAAATGCTACTTGCGTTGTTCACTTTAAATGTTAGTTTTGAGACTTTTATCTCAATTAAGAAGCATTACATTGAGAGGGTGCTTTTTTGAGGTATCATTTTTAACTTGTCAGCTTGACAAATCTCAATTAGTTTAAAGGCAGATATCCAGCATATCAAACAAGGTTGTTCTTTGTGAAGGCCTCTGGTGGTGCACAGGGCTGAGTCTCTGCACTATGAAGCTATCTGCAGCCACAGCAGTGCTAGTATGATCCCCAGTCAGGGAGCTGACCACATGACTCAGCAGACCTCTCCTGTCTCACCTGCTGCTTCCCAGCAATGTATTTCAATCAACCTACCTATTCTCCTTCCCACTCTCTGGTGAATCTGCTCATCCCCCCACACGTCCCCCCACACCTCCAGCCTACAACCTAGCTCCTGTATGCATAAATAAATAAAATCTCAAAAAAAAAAAAGATTTCAAATAAACTTCCCTCAATTAAATTAACTATGGTATACCTATATATTGGAATACTACCAAGTAATTGTAAAGAGGAATCCCTTAATTTTGTAGGTACTGGAAGAGACTGCTGTATAAGAAAGAGGAAAGAGCAAGGCAGACTGGTACTTATTTTACATTACCCTCTCTACAAAGAAGGAGAAGTCAATCTCTTCCTCCCCCTCCTTCACTCCAGCGATTGGATAGTTAGAAGTTTTCTCTAAAGGGACATGTGAGAAACTGTAATAGCTTATTATGAGGAGGGAGGGAAACAAATTTTCTACTGTACACCTGCTGTTCTTTGGACTTTCTAAATATTTTTATAGTCTTAGGTATGTATTACTTTTTTCCAAAAATAAATAAGATAGTTTGGATTCTACCTGAAAATCTTCACAAAGCTCTATTTTAATTCTTACAGCTCTTACCTCCAGGGTAAATAGTTTAGTTTCTTGAAGTATGCCTCCCAAAACAGCTCCTACAATCTAATATCTCACTCTGCACACTTAACACAGGCCTTCAGACATGACCGCCCATCATTCATATTCTCAGACTGGACTCCCACCCCAGAGATTCCTGAGCTTTTGTGAGATGCACATCTCCTAACCTCCTGATGAAGGTTATGAGCAACTCCTCACAAAAGACAACTATTCTCCAATTATTCTCATCAATTATTCTTATATACATTTTCAGGAACCTGGCACCCCAGTATTGTACAGTCTTTTAAATTTCCCCAGCCTTGATTACACCAAACTAAAAAGCTTCTGTACAGCAAAAGAGACATTAACCAAAACAAAGAGACACCCTACTGACCAAGGAAAGAATTTTGCACTCCATATAACTAAGGTACCGATCACAAATATATACAAAGAACTCATACAACTCAACAAAATGGAGTACAATGGAATAGTACTCAGCAATCAAAAAAAGATAAACTAATGACATTTGCAGAAATATGGAAGGAGCTAGAAGGAATTATGAAATAAGTCAGAAGGAAAAAGAAAAATATCAGATGATCTCACTTATAGGAGGAATATTAAGTGAACCAAATATAGGTGAACCAAATATTGCATCAGGGGAAAAAGTAAGAAAATACAACACAAAAAAGCCCAGAAATAAACACACAACTATAAACCAGAGACATTCTGCAGAAGCCTGTAAAGGAGAGGGAGCAGCACAAGAAAGGGGAGAACACAGGGGACTGTGGTGAGGGTGCACAGGTGAACTGGTGGTGGGAATTCTATGGGGACTACACCTGAGAAAAGCAAGCTAACATTGTTAAAAAATGAACAATGATGGGGGCTCTCCCTGGAGGCGCAATGGGTTAAGGCACCACATTATGAAGCTCTCTGAAGCCACTGAAGCCATTGTAGCATGAGTTTGATCCCCAGCCAGGAAGCTGACCAACATGGCGCTGCAGACCTCCTATGACCCGCCCGTTGTTTTCCTCAGCAGTGTACTTTGTCAATCTGCCTGTTCTGCTCCCCACTCTGTCTCTGGTGAATCCTCTCACCGCCCCCCCCCCCGCACCTCTGGCCTGTACTCCAGTTCCATAAGCATAAATTAATCTTAAAAAAAAAAAAAAGATGTAAAACATATATAAATAAATAATTGAAAATAAATAAACACATTTCCCCAGCCTTGTGAGTAGCTATCACACACTGCTGATTAATGTTAAACTGGTTCACAGCTAAAACACCCATGACTTCCAAGGATTTTTGGTAAAATCTCTCTCCTTTTATTTGTGAAAACATCAGTGTCTCCCAAATCCTCCTGTGAATTTTCCTTTCACAGTTTATGCTCAGCTTTCCAACTTTCGAGATGATTCTGAATTCCATCCTAACTCACATGCTGCATAAGTCAGTTCCCCTTGGCTTGGTATCACCTATAAAATAATTATCACAACAGCAGCTTCACCTACATCTCTGACTTGAGTGATTTTGTTTCCACCTGAATCAACAGAAGGGACAAGTGTAGTTCTGAGAAACCCAAAAAAGGTCTCTGACACTTTATTAACTGAGCTCTAGGAGGGCAGTATAAATCATTAATTCATTTAAGAAAATTAATCCAGAGTTTATTTAAAACAAAACAAAAACATTTTGGTAATATCATATAGACATCTACTTTCCATATGAACTATATAACCCCCAAATTCATACACTGAAACCCTAACCATGATATGGCTGTACTTGGAGACAGGACCTTTAAGGTCTGTCCTTATACAAGGAAGAAGACATACCAGATCTCTTTCTGCACATAGTGAAAAGGTCACAGTACATAGGTCAAGTCAGGAAAAGGGGCCTCACTAGAAACAATGCTGATGGTACCTTGATCTGATCTGTAGCTTTAAAACGGAGAGGAAATATCTGTTGTTTAAGCCATGATCCTGCACAACATTAATGTGCTAAAATACACTTGATCCCAATAGCTACAAGAAAACATTACCACATATAGATTATCTTACACACGTCTGATAGTTAACCCTAGACATTTTACAAAGATTTCCCTTTTTAAATCTCCCAAATCAAACAGAGCTTAGGTTAACTCTCACTTAAAAATTAAACAAACAAAAAACCAGACTAGAATACCTTGTTCCCCAAGAATAATGGATAATGCTGGTTTTATTTAAACCAGCTTGCAAATAGGCTCAAAAAAGTAATTGATGCTAGTAGTACAAAAACAATCTGCTAAAAAAGATTCCTTCACAGAAAAGTAAGATGAAAATTACTTAGTGCCTCAGCACACATGTACATCTAACACTGAACCTCTAGTGTCATAAGCTAAGTGTCCAGAGTGTGCAATGGAATGCTAACCACTGTTTTACAGGGCTCCTTGGAGGCTTAAACAAAATCAATTCCAGATAAAGTTAATTCAAAATCTGCCACACAGCAGAAGCTTAACAAATATAGGTTTTGTTATTGTGTTAAAACAATTTTGAAGTATAATTTAGTTATAATCAAATTTGCATGTTTTTAAGAATTTTTTCCTTATGATAACTAAAGTGAGAACTACTTAAAAGTTATAAGAAAGGAAGAAAAGACTATACAGACCTTGGATCCATGACCTCAGGAAGAAAAACAAGCCTAGAGGGAGAACCACTAACCCAGAGTCCAGAGAATTTTTACACTTCTGCTTTTACATACAAGTCAAACATCAAAATTCTGTTCTCAACCTACAATGCCATCAAGACTGCTGAGCCCTTGTAATTAAAACTAGAATGTTAACAGAGTTCATAGAAGACCATACTCATATTCAGTATTTAGGAGGAAAGCAGCTGTGTAGTACCTAGCAGTTCTGTAGAACTAATCCTGGGAATATACAGTCAACTCGACTAGGAACAAAGTATTGCTTTTAAAGAAACATCAGGCCTTAGGATGGTCATAGTTTTCTACTCCTTTTTTTTTTTTAAGATCTTTATTTATATACGCACACAAGAACTGGGGTATATGCCAGAGGTGCAGGGGATGAGAGGATTCACCAGAGAAAGAACAAAACAGACAGATCTACTGAAATACACTGCTGAAGGGAGCAGTGGGTGGGTCCGGAGAGGTCTGCCAAGTCATGTGGGTCAGCTCCCTGGCTAGGGACTGAACTCGTGCTGCAGTGGCTGTGGATAGCTTCACAGTGCTATGCTTTAACCCGCTGAGTCACCAGGGAGGGCCCTCCTACTCCTGCTTTCTAAACACAAATTATCTTGACTTCATTTCCTCCCTCTTCTCTTTAATACAAATCAGTAAAGCACAGTTCTGCTTTTTCCTTTTTACCATTAGGATATCTTGGAAATTTCTGTTTATCAGTACATAAAAGTTCCTTCATTCTTTTTTCTTAAAAGCTATACACTTTTCCTTATATAGAATCTTCAAAAATTAAGTGGTCTCTTGTTAATGAACATTTAGATTGTTTTGGTTTTTTGTCATTACAATGTTTGCAATAAATAATGCTGTATATACACATCCTCTTTTTTTTTTTTTTAAGATTTATTTATTCATACAGAACTGGGGTACAGGCCAGAGATGTGGAAGGTCAGAGGATTCACCAGAGACAGAGTGGGGAGCAGAACAGGCAGATGATCAAAGTACACTGCCTAGGGGAGCAGCGGGCGGGTCAGGAGAGGTCTGCTGTGCCATGTGGATCTCCTCCGGGGCAGGCGGGGATCGAACTCATGCGGAAGTGGCTTTAGCTTCTTAGTGCATTGCTTTAACCGGCTGCGCCACCAGGGAGGGCCCTATACACATCCTCTTTTTGTGTGTGTGTGTGTGTACATAAAAAAATACACACACACACACACACACTCCTGATACACATATTTGTCTAAACATCCAGAAACAACTCAGTGGATCAAAAGATACATATTTGTAACTCTTAAAAAAAAAGGGGGGGGGGCTCTTAACTTTTTTGAGGTTCTAGATCCATTACAAAAACCTGATAAAGCTATGGACTTGGCTCCCCAAAATAAAGACCAGATATCCATACACAAATTTTACATACTCTAAGTGGACCTGAGGATCTCTCACATGGATCAGTCTGAGATAATGAAAGATGAGATGATTTAGGAAGGAATCCCAGAGCTATAATTTCAAAATTCTGAGAACCGAGAGGCTTTACCTTGGTTGATTTCAGCTGCAGAAGGTCCCAAGCTCAAGCTCTTCTTCTGCTGAGCATTTTTGGCAAGAAGTGTATGCTTGTCATCATTGCCAGTATCCATCTCTGAAATCGTGACAGCCAGAATCCGGCAGAAATTAGCAAGCTGTTGCTGATCAAAATTGGATACTAAGGAACTCAAATTGGGGACTTCATCTAGACGGATCATTTCCTACAAAAGATACAAATAAAACAATCTAGATGGTCAATTCATTCAAAATTGGATGTGTCCTTTTGCATTCCCCTAAGAATGGGATGTGATAGCTAGACCTCTGAGAGTAAAGCCGCAGCTCTACAATTTGCAGCTGTGCAATCGTAGTAAGTTATGGGACCTCTAACTATGTTCGCTCATCTGTCAAATGGGACTAACCTACTTCGTAAGACTAGGCTGAGGATTAAACCCTTTGAGCAGCACTGTTCTTACTCTCTACCATTGCTCATGTGACTCATTTTATCTATAACAAAAATGTCCACCACTCAAATTTATCAATCATAGCTGCCATTCTTACTATAGATTTTTTTATAACAGTTTTAGATTTTTAAAAAGGATTTATTTATTTATGCATACAGAACTGGGGTACAGGCCAGAGGTACAGGGGCAGTGAGAAGATACACCAGAGATAGGGTAGGGAGTAGAATAGGCAGACTGACGAAGTACACTGCTGAGGGGAGCAGCAGGCATGTCATATGAGGTCTGCCATGCCATGTGGATCACCTCTGGGGCAGGGATCGAACTCATGCTGAAGTGGCTTTAGCTTCTTAGTTCTGTGCTTTAACCTGCTACACCACCAGGGAGGGCCCATCTTGTTACAGACTTTTAAAAGAAATATTTCAAATACAGCTAAGGGCCTTGTATATCCTACCCAGGTGCATTCCCTTCTCTCTCCCCAGAGGTAACCAATATTTTGAACATTACACTTATTATTATTCCCACAAATATTTATACATATTTCCACAAGATATATATGGTACTGTTCTATATGCACAGTGTGAATGACATACCTTACTTTTCAGTTAATATTGAGACACATTCACTTACACAAGTAACTCTAGTTAATTCATTTTTCAATATTTTACTCCACAATTTAACCATTCTTTTTTATACAAAAGCTTAGATGAATTACAGCTTTTCACTATTAAACAATGTTGCAATAAACATTCTTATAGGTCCCTCTTCATGTACATGCACATGACCAATTATCTTGACTTTCACAGAAATAGTTCCAAATTTTCAACATTAAGTTTGATGTCTGCTTTAAGTTGTGATATATGTCCTATATAAGGCCAAGGAACTTTACTTGTATTCCAAGCTTCTTTCATAAATGAGAATAGAATTTTATGAAATACTTCTTGTTATTTGGTTATAGACTTATTTTTTTCCTTCCTTAATCTGCAAATAGTTTATTAAATAGGCTTCACTACTGAAACATCTTTATATTCCTCATGTAATACCTGCTTGACCCTTCATTCCACTAATTTGCTTAACTTCTAGTAGACCAGAGATTTCTCTATCACTGCCCCTATCACATTATCTTGTACTCACCTGTTCCTCATCTATTTCCCAAATAAACTGATAATAACTTGAAGGTTGAAGAGAATGTGTTTTACCTTCTCTCCACACCCTCAATGTAAAAGATCTGGTAGTAAGGGTGAGCAAGTGAATGACTCCCAAAAGCCCTCAAGAATCCCACACTTTTTACAGGGGTTTGTTGTGAAGGCATTTAAAGTGCTACTTCAGTCTTTGCTTCCCCTTCCCCAGTAACAAACATTAGAGGGGAGCAGAACAGGCAGATCTACTGAAATACATGGTGAGGGGAAGACTGCTGTACGCCATGCGGGTCAGCTCCCTGAGCTAGAGTTGAACTCATGCTGCAGTGGCTGCCAAGAGCTTGACAGTGTTGAGACTTAAACCCTTTGAGCCACCAGGGAAGCCCTTTGTGTTACATTTTAATTTAATATCTAACATATACATCATGCCATAAAACGTAAGCCTTTCTTATTTCCCTGTCTCTCTGCCAGAAGAAACCACTAACCTGCCTGAATTTTGTTTCTTAGTGCTTTGCCACTAAAATAGTTTTATCATATGTATGATGTGTGTTTGCTTATTTTTGCCTTTTATAAAACTAATACATGATATTCAGTCTTCTGAAACCACCTTCTGCAATAATTTCTACAATTTAGCTATAGCAAGTTCATTCATTTCCAATACAGTAGAATATTTCATTACATGAATACAGTACATTTATCAACTCTCCTACTGACAGGATGTAGACCTGGTTTTAGGTTTTTGCCTTGAAGTAATGATGCTATAAATGTTCTCATGCTTCTGATATACATGTACTGTGGCTTCTAAAACATTCTCAAATGCCCAACAATAAGAAATATATTTTCTGCTATAGCCCTGTAAGGATACATATGTAAATGTATAAAATACATGTAGAATTAGAACAAGAACTTCTTCAAGTAATATCTTTAACACAACATAATCTGGTCTATCTATTTAGCTGGCAGACTTCACTGAATTCATTTCACAAATCCTCTTAGTTTCAACTCAGTGTTTTCATTTCTAAGAAATTATTGTTCTAGGGTTGAGTTTCCTTATGAATGTGCCTGGGCATGGGTTACTGGTAACCCAGGAATCAGCAGCTCTCAAAGGAGCGCTTCCCTAGGTCTGAGTAACAGGGTATGTGATTGCTCAACAATAAGAAGAAAAGATAAATATATTCTCTTGCTAGAAAAAAATACCAGCAATATGTTATGTCAGTAGTATATAAATGTTTCAATGATACACATCTTCACCAGCTTTTGTCTCTGTATCTCCTGCATCTTTCTCTTATATTTATAGGCCATTTGTTTCACTTCTGTGAATGCTTATTTCTATCCCTGCCCATTTCTCTAGTGGGCTATTTGTCCTTTTCTTGCCAGTTTGTAAAATTCTTGATAAAATTTGAAAAGCCAATCTTTCTTAGCTTTTCCCAGTCGGTGACTTGGGTTTTCACTTCTATTATATAGTTCTAGCTTCCTTTCAAGCTGCACCAATAATGTGTCACAGTACATACCACCTTTTGGCGAAAGGGAAAGGAATGAGAGAGCATCAAAGGGCATGAGGGACAGGCAGGGAAAGTTGAACAGAAACAATGCTAGACTCCTATGCTGAGAATGCCAAGGAGTCTGGCAGCCCCCTTTCACACCCTGGCTTTAGCACACAGTTATTGGAAAAGTAACAAAGCTCTTTTATCAAAAGAACAAAGGGCCTGTGTGAGCACTGCAAACATCTCCGATGTGCTGATACAGACAACAGGCTGCTTGTGCATCCCCTGCCTGGCCAATGGTAAAAAGGGTTGGGGAAAGTGCAGCAGAAAGAAATGTAAACTGGCCACCACACACACGTGGGTGCCTGCCCCTGCAAAACATAAAGACACTTCTCCCATCTTCTTAGCCGTAACAGGAAGATGTGCTAACCTGCAACCAACATGGAGGCATGATGGGACTGGGGAAGTTAAGTTTTAGATCCTAAAAAGCATTACATCAAAAACCTAGTATGATGATTCTCCAACAAAGGCCTAGGGATGTATTTTGGGGGTTGGGGGGGTGGGAGTCTGTGAGACCTTGATGATAAAATTTTTGCTCACTGTTTTCAACTGGAGTGGCTGTTTTTAAAGTATACTCTGAAGAATGCTTTAAAGGCATGACCTGCTTCCTCCATGTTAGTTACAAGTTATATAAACACACAAAGAGCCAATCCAACATATTATAACTTCAAACATTTCTTGTATTTTGTCTGTTCTTTGCAGGCACTGGTGCTTACAACTATGAAAGGACAAGGTTCTCCATCTATTCACAGAAGGAATTAGGCAGATCAAAATACATCTTATAGTAACAGCATTTCAGTGCTCATGTATATGTCTCCTGTGTTGCTGTCAATTAAATTTTAACTTAAAGAGTAACATGAAAAAAGATGTGGATTTATTAAGTAAAAGTCAAGTATCATTCAGGGGAACATATCCTAAAGAATGAAGGTTTAATAATCATTCAAATATAGTAAAATAATAGGAGAATGAAGTTATCAAACATCTTATGGCAATATAAACATATTAAAAACATAATAATTAGTGAGGGGCAATTTGATTTCAACAGAATGACATTAGGCATTACATGAAATTCATGAAGTCAACTAAACTTTTGAGTTTTATAATTAGTGTAATTTCATTTATATATTTATTTAGCTTTTATTAAGACACATTAGTATAAGGTGAGTATAACCTAATTTTATATTTGAATATATTTAAACTGTTCAGGTTTGAGAACTCAGTCTAAAATACCCTTTCACATCTGGTCATAAATCTGCTAGAGAATATAACTCACCTTTTTAACACCCAAAATATCTTCAATAAGGGTTGCTGTTTGTAAGAACGTCTTCTTACTTGTCATCAGTGTAAACAGGAAGATCACAAAGTCATTCTTTTCTGCCAAACGCTTTGTTACTCCTTCAGTCTATCACAAAAGAAAAGGAGGTGTAAAAGGCAGTATAGATTGTAACCACAAAATAAAATATAAGGAGCAAGATATGCCTTCCAGACACTGCAAAAGCAATCCAACTCTATTTAAGACCTCTTGCCTGAGGTCTTAAATCCCTTAACATGTTACATGCAAATATATTTTTCTGTGAAGGATTTTTCCCCCCATGATATTCACCATGGATTCCTGACCTAGTATCTGTTGCATTAAATCAGGAGCTACAAACAGGCATCCAGAGGGCAAGTTTTACTTTCAAATTTTGCATTTAAATTCAATGTGTCTAGGCATGACCTACTTCCTCCATATTAGTTACGATTTACACAAGTGGCCACTCCAACACATTATGACTTCGAACATTTCTTGTGTTCTGTCTGGTCTTTGGAGGCACTAGTGCTTAGACTATGAAAGCTGGAAGTTCTTCATCTAAGAAGTTCTTTATCTAACGTGGAATTAAGGCAGATCAGCACACAAAGGAATCATGTCATCCTGTTTTTTATAATTTAAAAAAAAATCAGAACTGTGTTTTGCTACAATTTTATTAAAATTAGGTGTCACTATTAATGACCAACTTCATAAACCAAATGGCTATTTGGAAGTTGCCAATGACAGAATGATAAAATCATACAAAAGCCTTTTTCCATAAGGACATTTTTTTTTACATTTGAAATGGCTAGGTTTATTAGAAAATAGAGGCACCTGCATAGTCACAGGCAGGCAGGAGCGTTGCCAAAAGACAACTTATTGGCCTTAGTTGCAAAAAGTGTACATTTCCTAAACAATGTTTGTTTTCATCTTAAGATCTAACTACCATGTCACTAGTTACGTAAGCACTTAAAATGTTGCTAGACTGAACTAAGGCGTGCTCTGTATACTAAAATACACAAACTCTTTTTTAAAAACTCTGGATTTTAAAAGCATAGTACAAAAAAATGAAAATATTTTATGTCATTACTTATACTGATTAGTTTGGAAGAATAATCATATTATGTGAAATAAAATAATATTAACTTCACCTATTTCATATTATTTTTCCATACTTTCTAAGTAAAAAACATGGGTATAAGGAAACCTGAAATAACCTCAGTAGTTTGCCTCATATTTCTACTGCTCAGCGCTGTTTAAGATGTTACACTGTTTAAGTGTTGAAACATCTTTGTCTGGACATTTTTAATGTTAATAGTTCAACACTACTCAATCAGCTCTGACTCTAAACAATTACTATGAAATTATGCCTCCCCATAATTTCTACTTGTTGATCCTGGTTCTCAGCATATATAAAGTAAGTTAAATTCACGCATGTCTGAAGATAGTTCTCACCCTATTTGATCTCCCCTTCTCAAGCACTGCAGATATGGCAAGGAAATAAATGGGGCTCTGATGACGGGGTACTTACACAGACACAGGTATTATACAGGATGCTCAAACAGTCCTTGGACATTTCATCACTTACTGAAAGTGAAATGGAAGTAAGTGGATATTTTTCTCATTGAAAAAACATTAAGAATTCAATATTTCTTGAATTAACAGAAATCAATATTTAAACATTTAAGAACTGTGCCTCATCATGTCCAAGATGCTTATTTTCTTTTAGCATACCTAGTCCTTGAGTCCTATTTACCAAGGATTTTCATGGTGCCCATCAGAAGTTGGAAACCAAATTTGTATATAAATTTTTGATTTGACAGAGTAGCCATTTTGTTCTTATGCAATTAATGTACAATCTTCAATCTGTTGTGGTGTCATTAGATAAACCATGTTCCCTTGTAGCTTGCTTAGAATGTATCCAGAGCATTTGTTTTAGTTTAATATTTTAGTATTTAAATACCCTAAATATAAACTGTGTGTTTATTTTTCACTCATTAATCAACATTCACTCATTAATCAACATTTGCTCATTAATCAAAGCCTTTTTATGCTTGTGTTGAATTGGTTTCTCAAGATACATTTCCAAAACAGAACTACCAGAATCCAAAATATAAGTCACTTAACTACTCTTCTGTATTTCCACTGAAAGCTTACTAGCAGCAAAGTAGTACTTTTACTACACTCATCATGTTTTTGTTTTATTTATTTACTAGTTACTTGTGTTAGGGAAATAGTTTTTAATGTGTGGCCTACTAAATCCAACTAAGAATTAGCTTCTCTGTTAACAGGAATATGAGAGTAACAAAAAAGGAAATGAAATTTTTATGACTAATCCTAATGATAAAATTGAATATGAATCACAACATTTTGTTTAGCATTTAGTTTTAAAAGCTGCTTTCACTCTTTTCTATGTTGTCACAAACTCTTAAAATGCTTGGTCTCCTGAGATATCAAGGTCAGCTCTGCCAAGCTAGTTTGGGTCACAACACACAATGCTGTGACAGTGTGTAAGCCCTACTACCTTTCAACCTGCTAGGGGTTTTTTGAGGCTGTCTGGTTTAGTTCATGACTTCACAACAGTTGGAATGCTAGTTCTCAGTATTTTCTAGACCTTTTCATTTTCAAAGGAAATGGAAATTTACTCATTACTCAAACATTTATTTAGAATCTATTCTAACACAGGTATAGAATAGAGTGGTTAGCCCTTCCTTTCCCCACGAAAAAAAAAAAAAAAAGGGCAGTTCCCAAAAAAAAAAAAAAAAGGGCAGTTTCAGCACCCAAGAACTTCTAGAATCAAGTGGGAAGAATAAACACTGCATATCAACAAGTAATTACAAAATGCTACTTTCTCAGCTGTTATGAGAGAACATGAAAAAAACAACTTAAGATTGCAAAGCTGAGACATCACAAATGAATACTGTGAACCAATACTGCACACAAGCCAAGATCTAATATAGTATGACATGCTGATGTTAAGTGGCATTTTAATTTAAAAAAATATATCTGATGTTTTTCATGTCATCAAATGTTAATTGAAGTGATCTCTGGCTTTTAATGCCAAAGTAGAGTGCACTTTTTAGCTTTCTGATATTGAAAACCTAAAAAAAATATGTATAACATATGTAAATTAGTAAGAATAGTAAGAGAAAATACCCATATATTCATCCCCCAGCTTAAGAAAGTTAACATGCTATCAAAACACTTTTGATAGATATACATATACATTCTAATAATGACCTAACTTTGCACAAAGCACATGTAAAGCATGTATCATCTTCACAAGTCTTTATATAGAAAAAAATTAAAATTACACTGTAAGGTTATTCCTTACTCCCTCAATTACAATATAATAAAAATTTCCCAAGAAAACAAAAACTGGACTCCGAACTATGAGCAACACTTAGCCCAGTGGTTTTTATATATTTTTCTTTTCTTTTATATATTTTTCTTTAAAGCACTAGATTTCTGCATAGTACAAAAGAGAACTACTTAGTTGGGGATAGAGAATGCATCTTACAATTGAATGTAAGAAACTCCTAGGAATGTACATCAGCAGAGGGGGAATGAGAATCAGTGGTTGAGATACTTACTTTTCAATTTCTGACCTCGGATAGAGATTGTAGGCCTCATAAGAATTTCTACAAGGAGCTATTAAAAATAAATAAAAACTTCAAAATTAATTCAAAGCACAACTTAATAAAACCATTTTTGTCATATCAACTCAGGACCTAAATATCTATCATCCCCCAGACCTTGCTATTCCCAACAAAGGCAGAAAGCAGTGAGATTGAGATGAAAAAGCACTGCCAAAAGCCAGGAAACATGGGTTCTGGTACTAGGTTAGTCATCTATTCCCTCAGTAAACTTGAGTTCAAGTTATTCTTCCATCATGGCCTCAGCTTTCTACATTTTCAAATACAAGCATGTGAGAACAGGTTTCATCTCTAGAATCCAATGTGGCTCTAATTTTTTATAAGTTGCTAAACATTATTGCTATGACTCCTCTTGCTTTAAGAACATTGTGCTCTGTTACAAATATAAATTTATAAAAAGAATCTCAAAAGATAAATCAAACTGAATACTGATTTTTATACAGGTTGAAGATAATATGAATTTTGCATTTTACACACTTTTATTACAACATATAATTTGCTTAATTTATGTTAAATAAGTGTATATTTAAAAACTAGGTGTGTTCAGGCCAACAACAATTTGTAACAATGAAAGGATCAGTCAGGAAGATATACTGATTATAAACTTACATGTACCAACAACAGAATATGTAAACACATGAAGCGAGCACTGGCAGGCAACTGAAGGAAATAGACAATTAAAAAATAGTTGGGGGCCCTCCCTGGTGGCGCAGCGGGTTAAAGCACAGCACTGAGAATCTAAAGCCGCTTCCTCATGAGTTCGATTCCCGCCTGCCCTGCAGGTGACCACATGGCATGGCAGACCTCTCCTGACCCGCCCGCTGCTCCCCTCTGCAGTGTACTTCGTCGATCTGCCTGTTCTGTTTCCCACTTTGTGTCTGGTGAAACCTCTCACCGCCCCTGAACCTCTGGCCTGTACCCCGTTCTGTATGCACAAATAAATAAATCTTTAAAAAAAAAAAAATAGTTGGATGCTCCAATAACCTGTCTTCAATAATAGGCATCACATAAGAAATAGAAGACTTGAACATTCTTAAATAAAATCTAACCACCAACTGCAGAACACTGCCTAGCAACAGCAGATTATTCTTTTCACTCAAGTACAGACAAAATAATCTCTAGGCATGATCATATGTTAGACCATAAAACAAGCTTCAATATTTAAAAGCTTCAATATTCAAATATATAAAGCATGTTTTATGGTCACAGGTCTGAGAAATAGCTAAGAGAAAGGATTAGAAAGTGTTAGAAATTACTAATGGAAAGGATTTGGGAAACTCACAAGTGTGGATAATTCAGAAATAACTTTCCAAATAACCAATGAATCAAGGAAGAAAGCACAAGAGTGATTAGAAAATACTTCATGATGTTGAATATGCCAAACTTGGGTTATAGCTAAAATAGTGTTTAGAATGAAATTTGTAGTTATAAATGTATTTTTTAAAAAAATGTATCTCGGGGGGAAGGGAGGGAAATGCACGGGACTATGGTGGTGGCACAGGGGTGATTTGGTGATGGGAAACCCGTGGGGATTACAATTGAGATGAAAAAAAAGTGAAAAATGATGTAAAAATAAACTTTTTAATAAAAAAAAATGTATCTCAAACTTATTAGCTAATCTTCCACTTTAAGGCTTTATAAAAAGAGGTGCAAACTACACCTAAGCAAGCAGAAAAAGGAAATAAGGATTGGAGTGGAAACTGATAAAGTGGAAAATAGAAAGTAACAGGGAAAAAAAAAACAACAATAAAACCAAAAATTGGTTCTTAGAAAAGACTGGCAAACCTGAGATAGTGTAACAAAATATATAAAAATTATTATAGTGAGAAAAAAAGGAAACACCATTATTGATCTTAGAGAAAACAAAAATTATAAATAACAGTATGCTACTAATTATATGACTTAGATGAACTATATACTATATAAATTCTTAAAGACAAACTACAAAAACCAACTGAGAAAGAATCTACGAATACCCCTATAACAAGAAATTGAATTAGATATTTTAAAAACTATTTATAAAGAAAATCCCAGTCCTAAATAATTTCCTTGGTAAACTATAAACATTTAAAAAGAATACTAATTCTTCACAAACTCTCCCAAAAGAATAAGAGGAAAGAATATTAAAATGGCCCTCCCTGGTGGCACAGCAGGTTAAAACACTGCACTGAGAAGCTAAAGCCACTTCCACATGAGTTCGATCCCCGCCTGCCCCGGAGGTGACCACAAGGCACGGCAGACCTCTCTTGACCTGCCCGCTGCTCCCCTCAGCAGTGTACTTCGTAGATCTGCCTGTTCTGCTCCCCACTATGTCTCTGGTGAAGCCTCTCACCGCCCCTGAGCCTCTGGCCTGTACCCCAGTTCTGTATGTACAAATAAAATAAAATCTTTAAAAAAAAAAAATCCTGAAAATATCAGCAATATACAAAAAGCATTAAATACCATGATTAAGGGCAATTTATCCTAACTATGCAAGATTGGTTCAACTTTTGAAAATCAATTAATTTAAAAATCATATCAAGAATAATAAATAACAAACCCCCCAGGATCACCTCAATAAGATACAGAAAAAGTATTTGAAAAAAATACAATGTTCTTTCATGATAAAACCAGGAGAAAAAAAAAAAAAAAGAACTTCCTCAAACTGATTAAGGCATTTTAAAAAACCAAAACTAGCATCATACTTAATAGTGAAAAGATTCAACACTTTTTTTTCCATTAAGATCAGAAAAAAGGCAAAACTGTCCATTCTTACAATTATATCCTGAAGGGTCTATATCCTAAGGATGTCCTAAAGGAACTCTGAAGAATCTTATGGACTCCACCCCCTACTCCAGCTTTCTGGACACTGACCCCTACCCCAGTGGTTGGAAACTACAACTCCCAGCAGTACCAGGGAGAGAACTGCGAGGACCCAAGAGCGGAGCTAGCAGGAATGAAATCTGGGACATTTGGGGGATAAATACGGAGTGATTGCAACTCTTGCTCTCTCACTCCGGAAGCAGCTCTCCTGACCACATGACTTGGTGTGTTCAGTCAGCCTAGCCTAAGGTATTCCACTTACTTAGTATCCTGCTTTCTTTCCCTGGGTTGTTTCCTATTCCTTTTCCCTTTTGTAAATAAACCTATTATTGACCCTTTTGTATAACCTGCAGTATAACCTAATTGTGAGCGGGCGGGTGAGGCCTACAGACAGGCGGCCCAGTCCACTCTGGGCTTCCCTGTAACAGGTCTAGTCAGGGCAATTAGACAAGTAGATAGAACAAAAGACATCTAAATTGGAATGGAAGAAGTAAAACTATGTAGAGATGACATAATCTAGTATATAGAAAATATTAAGAAATCCACTAAAAAAACTACTGAAACCAGTAAGAATTCAGCAAAACTGTTGGATATATAATCGATTTACAAAATCAATCATAGCAGTGAATGAACCACAACTGAATTCCCATACAAAAATATCAAAAGAATAAAATATTTAGGAAACAATTATTAAGTGTAAGACCAATACAATGAAAGCTACAATACGTTTAAAAAAGAAATTAGAGCTGTCCCAACCAAAAAAGGAAACACATTGTACATTGTTAAGGTTTATAAGATCAGAAATCTTAATATTGTTAAGATGGTAATACTCCTCAAATTCATTTACAGATTTAATGCAATCCCTAACAAAATTCCCACTGATTTCTTTTCAGAAACTGACAAACTGATTCTGAAATTCACACGGAAATGCAAAGAGTGCATATTAGCTAAAATAATCAAGAACTATGAATACAGAAAAAAAAAGATAAAATTATTTTATCAAAATTAAAAACTCTCATACTTGAAAACACACCATCAGAAGGTGAAGATAGTCACAAAATGGGGGAAAGTATTTGCAAATCAGGGATCAGTATCCAGAATTCATGCAACTTGATAAAAAGACAAAAAAGGGGGGTGGTGGACAACAAAAAGACATACAAAGATGTATAAATAGTCAAGAAGCACAAGAAGTCAATCAGATTAGCCATCAGGGAACTGCAAATCAGAATCACAATGAAATACCACTTCATACCCAATACAGGGCTATAATTAAAACACAAGTAGTAACAAGTGTTGGGGAGGATATGGAAAAATGTGAGTTTCATATAATGCTGGTGGGTATGTAAAATGGTGCAGCTGCTTTGAAAAACTGAAGGTTTCTCAAAGGATTAAATAAAACTTAGCACATGACCCAGCAATCCCACTTTTAGGTATATATCCAAGATTAATGAAAATATGTCTACAAAGAAGTGAATGAACACACACGTTAAGAGCAGCAATAACTCACAAAAAACAAAATGTATAAGCAGCCCAAAATGTCCATAACTGATGAGTGGCTATACCAAATGTGGCATATACAATAGTGTACTATTATCAACTATAAAAAGGAGAGAACGTGTTACATGAATGAACCTTGTAGGCATTAACCTATATGAAAGAAATAACAAAAGACCTTATGTTACATGATCCCAATTCATATAAAATAGCCAGGACAGACCTTATGTTACATGATCCCAATTCATATAAAATGGCCAGAACAGGGATATCTATATAGACAAAGAATAAAGTAATAACTGCCTCTGATGGGTGTAAGTACTAGAGCAGTAGCATATTGGTAACTAAACATATGAAGTTATTTCTCGGGGTGGTAAAAATGTTCTAATGTGGTTACACATACCTATGACTATATCAAAACCACTGATTATAAACTTCAAGTGAGTAAATTATAAAGTTTGTGATATACAGTTCAATATAGCTGTTAAAACTACAAATACCATTCTTCTCATATCTGCTTAGTAAATATTTAAAATATACTGTTTGATCAGAAGGGTACAGGTGCCGATAATGTTCTATTACATGATTTGGACAGCCATGACAGTGTGAACTTATTTTGTGGTTAATTACTGGTATGCTTTTTCTAATATTCAAGTTATACTTCAGTATAAGTAAAACCACACATACACACACAGTGTTGGTGATGGTGAGAGTAAACAGACACTCCTCTATTCTGTTATTCTGGAAGCTGCTAAAATCTCCGAGATGCATAAACTGACAAGTTATAAACAATAAAAGACACATATACTTTGACCCCAAAGGTATAAACTCAAACCCACACACTAGCATGTGCAAAATCTTTACTTTAACCTTGTTTTGTAATAGCAAAGACATGGAACCTATAAATGTCCATCAATTGGGGCCCATAAATAAAGTTTGACTACCCCAGAGAATTACATGGAAAAAGCAAGAAACACAACAGTGTACCTGTATATATGGTATATCATTTCTATGTAGGGGAAAAATCAGCAGTAGCGGTTACTGACACAGACATACAATCACAGGACATGTCTGGAAGGACACAGAAGAAACTAGTAATCACAGCTGCCTCTAAGGAGGAGACAGTGGGGAAGTGGGAGACACATCTTTCACTTTGTGCCTTAAAAAAAGAAAAGTGGATGTTGTTATCAAACCAAACCAATTTTCTAAAGTAAGCAATACAGATGGGTGCCACTGAGCTCCCAAAAAGTAAAATTCTGAAGGGTTTGCTATACATTCTCAAGCCATTAAGTAGCAATAGTAATAATAATCATCATCAACTACTTACGTCAACTCCTCCAAACAAGTCAAAAATATAAGTATTTGGATAAGTGGTTTCTTGGGTAAGCTTCCTCTCTTCAGTAACAAATGCCATAGCCTCCATGGAGAGAAGAGGAGAAATTTCCTAATTTAAAAAAGTATACAGAGATATTCAGTTTAAGTACCCCAGCACAAACCAAGACATCAGTTACATTAGTCACAACTTGAATCCCATGAACACAAAGATTATTCCCAGTAAGCTATACACTGGTATTTATGCCCCTGTAGAATTCTCTTCTACACTGAATCTGGGCCACTGTGACTCTTGCAACCAACAGACTGTAACAGAAGTGACAAAATCCCCTGTATGGCCCAGCTCAAAAAAGTCTGGCAGAGTTGGCTTTTGTCATCTTAGAACTCATTCACCAAACCTAGAGAAGCCATGAGGAAGAGAACTGAGGCCAGGGCTGAATCCTTAGCTGATCTCCAGCTAACTACTTACCAACTATGTGAGTAAAGTTACTTTTGATTTTTCCAATGTCTCAAAACCCAACAACCACATGAAGCAGAATAACCAGTAAACTAACCCAAAGAATTATAAATGGTGGTTGTTACCTCAAGCTACTGAGTTTTGAGAATGGCTGGTTTTGCAGCAGTATATAACCAAAACACATCTCAAATGTCACCTCCTGGTCCCTCCCTGATGGCGCAACGGGTTAAAGCACAGCACTGTGAAGCTACTGCAGCCAGGAAGATGACCCACATGGCACGGCAGACCTCTCCTGACCTGCCTGCTGTTACCCTCAGCTGTGTATTTCATTAATCTGCCTGTTCTGCTCCCCATTCTGTCACTGGTGAATCCTCTCACCACACCTGCACCTCTGGCCTGTCCCCCAGTTCTGTATGCATAAAAAATACAGATTTATTTAAATTAAAGATTTATTTATTTATGCATACAGAACTGGGGGACAGGCCAGAGGTATGGGGGAGCAGAGACAGAGACAGAATGAGGAGCAGAACAGGCTGATGTACTAAAATACACTGGTGAGGAGAGCAGCAGGCGAGACCGAAGAGGTCTGCTGCATCATGTGGATCACCTCTGGGGCCAGGGATTGAACTAGCACTAAAGGGCTTGGCCAGCTTGCAGTGCTGCACTCCAACCTGCTGCGCCACCAGGGAAGGTCCAAATAAATAAGTCTTAAAAAAAAAAATAAAGTCGGTTTCTGGCCATTCATACTCCGCTCGGGTAGTTCTCGCCAGTCCAGTTTTGCGCATTATCAGTTGAAAAGTGTGACGGCACTGCTAGCATGAAGCTCGTGCGATTTTTGATGAAACTGAGTCATGAAACTGTAACCATCAAATTAAAGGATGGAACACAGGTCCATGGAACAGTCACAGGTGCCGATGTCAGCATGAATACACACTTTAAAGCTGTGAAAATGACCCTGAAGAACAGAGAACTTGGACAGCTGGAACCACTAAGTATTCGAGGAAATAACATTCGATTATTTTATTCTGCCAGACAGCTTATCTCTGGATACATTACTTGTGGATGTTGAACCAAAGGTGAAATCTAAAAAAAGGGAAGCTGTTGCAGGAAGAGGCCGAGGAAGAGGACGTGGTCGGGGCAGAGGAAGAGAGGGTCCTAGGCAATATCACTCAAGATCACTGTTTCAAAGTGATACGTGATTTGCAATTATTTTTTGTACAGGTTTTGTTTGTTTATGTCAGTTTTTAATAAACAAATGTAGGGCACAGTTGTCTATTGACTATATCAAATTAAATTTTAATAGTGCATTTTTATATTACTGGTATTAATACAGTAAGAGTTGAGCATTACTATTAGGCAGCCCTAGAATAACTTCATTCATCTATCAGGCTTTAAATTTTTTGGGCTAAAAATTTTTCTGTATTAACATATGTAGAGAATATATACCTTTTTACTAAATGTGTGTTAAATATGTATTTTGTTTAGATTCAATTCTGTGGAACCTGCCTACAAGTGAAGTAGCTATGTTTGATACTTCAGAAACTAAAGTCCTATGGAATGGGGTCTAAATTGATTGTTCTTTCCAGAGTTTTGTGGTGACTTGGATACCTAGTAAAAGGTTATTTTCATCTTTTAATTCAGGAGTCACTGGTTTTGTGGTCATTGTAATGTATTTTTTGTTTTGTTCATTTTTAAAAATAGGTTATCAATAAAACAGTTTTATATTACCCTGAGTTGAAACTGCAGAAATTCACTAGATAATTCACTAGATCATCCCCCATAAGCAATGTTGAAGCCTGTCAGTATGCAAGTACCTCTTAGTGGTTTCTTTATTGAGTACTTTTGTTGTTGTTGTGTAATAGTTTATTTTTACATTATTTTGTGCTTTTTCCCACCTCAGTTGTAATCCTCGTGGGCTTCCCATCACCAAGTCACCCATGTGCCATCACCATAGTCCAGTGTACTTCCCTCCCTATCAGCTTCTTTTACAAGGAGCCCTTTATAAAAGCAAAAGGAGGCCCTCCCTGGTGGCGCAGCGGGTTAAAGCACTGCACTAAGAAGCTTAAGCCACTTCAGCATGAGTTTGATCCCCGCCTGCCCGGGAGGTGACCACATGGCGTGGCAGACCTCTCCTGACCCGCCCGCTGCTCCCCTCAGCAGTGTACTTCGTTGATCTGCCTGTTCTGCTCCCACTCTGTCTCTGGTGGATCCTCTCACCCTCCACATCTCTGGCCGGTACCCCATTTCTGTATGAATCAAATAAATAAATCTTAAAAAAAAAGCAAAAGGAGAAAAAAAACTTCATGTGAAAGCAAATGAAGGATTCATTCCAATTTTTAGTACAGACTTTTAGCTTTCAGGATGGGGGAAAGGCTAAATCTGTATCTTCGTTTCATCATGCAATATGCAGTTTGTTTTTTAAATAAGGAATTTTTCTGCAGATTGTTATATAAAAGATTTAAAACCTATGAGAGCTCCATAAATGGAGGAATAGCAAAAAGAAAGTCACTTCCTATAGATGTCTCCCCTGAAGAAATATGTTATAACACTGAACCCCAAAAGTAATCTGTGGTTAATTTGTGGCACTTAGCACTTTTACTTTGCCCCTTTATACAAACCTATGTTATTTCATCCCCATACTAAATACAGAGTAGTGGTTCTTAAAGGGGGGGATCCACTCATCCAAGTTATTTTTAAATGAGAGATCACAATTATTTCTACCTTAATCAGATTGTAAGAATATAAAAAAAAAGCGTTATCTCTTCTTAAAGATGGTTTATTTGGTGCCTATTATAAAATGACTTATGATATAGTATCAAAACTTCACTTCTGAAAAAAATAATTAAATTTTATCATGACCAAGTAACTTGTATGGATTTTAACTAAGCCACAGGGGACCTACCTGGTGGTGCCAAGGGTTTAAGTTTCAGCACTATCAAGCTATTGGCAGCCACTGCAGCATGATTTTGATCCCACTGTCTCACCTACTACTCCTCTCAGCAGTGTATTTCAATAAAGCTACCTGTTCTGTTCCCCACTCTGTCTCTGGTGAATCCTCTCAACCCCCAATCACACACCTTTGGCTCACATCCCAGTTCTTGTATGTATAAATGAATCTTTTTAAAAAAATAACTAAGCTAGAGCTAATGCTCTAAATTCAAATTTGGAATCAATCTCCCCACTTCCATTCAATGTGTGGAGATAGTTAATACCAGATATACTGAATCAGAAATTCTAGCGGTGGCTGTTGAAACAAAACTTCCAGGTAATTCTGATACACACACGTTTGAGAACAAGTGCTTTACATAATATCTCTGCACTCTTTCCAAGGCTCTATCAAGCCTAGTTCCTTCCATCTTTTTATGTAGTCATAATTATCAACAATCATAAGACCTCTTTTGGGCCTCCTTGTTGGCATAAGGGGTTAAGTCGCAGCACTATCAAGCTATCAACAGCCACTGCAGCATGAATTGGATGCTCAACCAGGGAGCTGACCCACATGGGATAGCAGACCTATCCTGTCTTGCCTGCTGCTCCCCTCAGTAGTGTATTTCAGTCAATCCACCTGTTCTGTCCCCCACCTTTGTCTCGTATGGAGCCTCTCACCTCCACACTTCTGGTCTACTCCCCAGCTCTTATATCCATAATCATGAAAAAAAAAAAAACCCACTTCTATGAAACATCTAAAGGATCTTTTTAAACCCTGTTCAAAACAATTGCCATTCTAATTTCAGGGTACATACAATGTTTACCTCCCAAATTAAGCAAGCACTGACACAAAGTAATTGTGAATAAAGCTCAGAAGGATATACAGAGGACTTAATGGTGATTATTTCTTGAGGGTGGAATTCTAGGTGATTATAATTTTTCTGAATTTCCCAAAATTTCTACAGCTTACACAATAAGAACAGGC